CGGAGACTCTGCTGACAGTGGAAAAAGTGCTAAAGATGAGTCAGTCAATCGTTACTGAAGTATAAATGCTGGCTCTACAGAGGCTTTAATGATACCTGTGTAAAGGAGCAAATCCGAAGATTTTCTTTCAGTTAATGCATAAAGAATACTGATTTTGCATCCTTTTTATAAACTAAGGAATGATGGAAAGATAAGAGACTGATAGTGCTGTAATGATTTTTTTTTTTCATCCATGCTTGTTCTGTTGTGTGGTTACTACAGAATCACAGAATCTGCTGAGTTGTAAGGGACCCACAAGGATCATCAACTCCAACCCTTATCCCTGCACAGGACCATCCCCAGGAGTCACAATATGTGCCTGAGAGTATTGTCCAAACACTTCTTGAACTCTCTCAAGCTTGGTGCTGTGACCACTTCCCTGGGGAGCCAACCACCTTCCATCATTCAACCACCCTCTGGGTGAAGAATCTTTCTAATATCCAACTTAAACCTCTCCTGACACAACTACAGGCCATTCCCTCGGGTTCTGTCGCCGGTTTCCGTATATCCATTCAAAGTTTTTATTGGTATAAAGATACAATAAAGTAGAGTTCAAAGTATTGGAAACAAATGAGCATATGGAGTATTAGTAAGTACCAGGGACACACAGGCTGTGTAGCTGCTCTTTTCTCTAACCCCTTGTTCCATGTTTACATCTCTAAGCAACAACAGTATACCTTGCATTTTAGGAAGTAGTTGTATTTTTTAAAATATTCGCAAACTAATTTTGGAGGAAGAGGAAGAAGAATTGGTGTAATGCTAAAATTCTGGATCTCTCTCCACCCATAGTATTTTATTCAAACATCCACTCTTGGAAAACAAATAAACAAAACAGATGCCCACAAAAGAGTCTCCCAAAAACACCTATTAGAATGTCTTTGAATATTCTACAGTACAAAAGCATTTTTAAGTAACATATTTTCTTCTCTGTCATTTAAAGAGCTAAACTAATATGTTTTCTTTCTTTTGTGAATATATTTTGTGCCAATATTTCCAGCTGTTTCCACCATTTCAAATCTGTGGTCTGAAACTTAAACTATGTCTATTGTTTCACAAAGCTATGTGTGCACGTCAGGCTCAGTTAACTGTACACTGTCAAACTTTATGTTAAAAAGGCTTTCCATCATAAAGAGACTTTAGAAATAGTAGGAGTTTTAAACAGATTTTTGTATTGTAAATTGACTCTATATGTACACTAAAATACATACAGAAGACTTAAGATGAGAATGGTTGCACACCTGGGTCAGTAAGAATTTTCCTCACAGGTATTCTGGAATTTTTGTGGAATTATAGAATATCCTGAGTCGAAAGTGAACCACAAGGGTCACTGAGTCCTACTCCTGGCCCTGCACAGGACAACCCCAAGAATCACACCATATGCCCAAGAGTGTGTCCAAATGCTTCTGGAACTCTGTCAGGCTTAGTGCTGTGCCCACTTTCCTGGGGAGCCCGTTCCTTCCCTCTAGGTGAAAAACCTTTTCCTAATATGCAACTTAAACCTCCCCAATGCAACTTCATGCCATTTCCTTGAGACTTGTCAGCGGTCACCAAAGAGAAGAGGTCAGTGCCTGCGCCTCTGCTTCCCCTCATGAGGGAGTTGTAGACTGCAATGAGGTTTCCCCTTAGGCTTCTCTTCTCCAGTTTAAACAAGACAAGTGACCTCAGGTCCTCATATGGCCTCCCTCTAGGCCCTTCACTATCTTTGTAGCCGTCCTTTCAGCACTTTGTGACTTTCTTACATGATGGTGCTCAAAATTGCACACAGCACTCAAGGTGAGGCTGCACCAATGCAGAGCAGAGCGGGACAGTCACCTCCCTTGACTGGCTGATGATGCTGTGCCTGAATGCACAACTTATTTTTATAGGTGCTCCCTAATAATGCTTAATTTGTTAACTGAATTTCTTAGAGCAACATAGAAGAGTTTGAATTGTGCACTTTAAATATGGATTTAAAATTTCACTTGTGAAGCTGTTTAGCATATGGATGGTATATAAATTAAGCTGGTCTTGTGCTGATACTTCATTTCATTGTTCTGACATCAGCGTATCAGACTTGCAGAACAGTACACTGTGACTGTGTTTAGGTTGAAACAATTACAGATAGTAAGAGTGGTAAATGTCATGATAGACAAGTGTTAGTGAAATATGGTTTTAATTATTACTTTGCTTTGTGTTGTATTTCATCCCTTGAAGCCAGCAATACCCTCAAGATGCTTTAGCCCACTTATGGAATTTCTCCACTCCCAACTAATTAACTGTAATTAATACCTTGCCAAAAAATTGGAATTGCTTAGTTTTGTCCTAGTTGCATTCATTACCGATATATTAAAAAGATGTAACTTAATTTTATTCAAAAGTAAATTCCTTCAATCTAATTTTTTCTGAGTTTTTTTCTTCCATTCTGAAGCAAAGTAAAAATATGTAGGTTTTTTTTTTAATCTGTATGTTATTCACATTAGTAGAAAATAATTTGTGTTGTACCAGAAAATTTTCCTTAAAAATAAAACCAAAAAAAAGGAGCAATTTTTGGTAATAAATATTTGGAATTGAGAGTTACTAGGCCATTTCCAGGTTTATTGGCACTTAATCTCTGGACCTCTTTACTTGAGGGATTACTACATTTTATATATTTTAGAGTTAGAGTTCCCTATTCCTTTATACTTTCTGTTGAACTTTTTTGTATCTTGTTTATTTAAAGACTATAGGTAATTTCTGCATAATTTAAAAATATTCTAAAGTGTCTTTATGAAACCCCTTTCTAAGTTATTCTGTTGTCTTGTGTCTCTTGTTTTGTAACTCAGAGTGCTGAAAGACTTCTGTAGAGAACTATAACATTTAAATTGCTTTTCTAAGTGGGCTGACAATCCAAAATGACAAAAATTACTAATTTAAATAATGTAAAAGTGATAACTATGATTTTTGTAAGATATCTGTGTGTTAGTAATACAATTCAGACGTGTCATGCTGATGAATTCCTTGAATATCACTGATGCACTATAAAACAAGAATAGAAACTAAAAATGTATCCTTCATCTGTTTTATTAAACTTCTTGAGGAAATTAATAAAAAAAAAAGAAGTCAAGTTGTATGGAAGCACTCTCATTTGGTTCTTCTCTAACTCAGATTTTTACATTCTTGACAATTTTGATTTCTTGAATCCTGGAGGAGACTGGAAATTACTGGTATCTTCGAAACATGAATTTGCAGACACATGGTTAAATTTGACACAGTGAAAGGGCTATTTCGGCTTTTGTAAAGGAAAGCTTATGTATTGCAGAGCTAGTTGTCATTCTCTAAGGAGTTAACTGGCATCTTGTTTGAGGTTGCTGAAGCTGATAACAACCTACTTGCATAACAAGATATTCCACAGAAGCTTTTACTAAAGACTCTTTAAGGAAACTTAAAAGATTTGGGGTAAGAGTAAGTATTTACTAGAGTAGATTATTTGTTAGAAGGTAAGAAATAAGGTAAAGTGCATAACCAGTTCTCTTAGCAGTAAACCACCAGTGGAGTTTCATGATGGCCTGTCTTGAGACTTGCGCTGTTATTTTGTTCATCAATAATTTGGAACAGGAAGTGGAGTTACCCATTTTTTTCTGTGTAGTAGAGATGAGGACTGACTAAGAAGGTTTTTAGAAGAATGTTATGATAAAATTCATAGGTAAGTGCAGATAAATGATCAGCCATTTTGCCCTCCTTTACGAAGTTTTGTAAAACTTCCACACAAACGACTGAATAGATATTGATCTCTTTATTTGTGGGAAGATGTGAGAAGAGATGTGGTGGAGCATTTTGAAGGGCTGAGAAGGTGGTTTTGCACTCCCTTTTCAGTGACAACAACAGAGCATGTGATGAAAAGAGTGATGAATCAGATGTGCCCTGATGCAGCTGCTAAAAAATACTGCTATTCAAAAAATAATTGGGTGAATTCAGGATTCCTGTAATTCACTGAATACTGTTAAGGCAGTCACTTCTGGTTCAGTGTGTCCCTCAGGGGGTTTTTATTTTAGGGATTTCCGAAGCCAGAATAATAGCTTTATATTAGGCCAAGGGAGTATTCTGGGAAAGTAAGAAGATATGATTGCCTTGTTCTTACTTACTGTTGGCTATTCACTCTTTAATAGAGACTGGATACTGTTCCTGCTTTTCTACCTATGTTTTGGCTCAGGAAATTTCTGCTCCCTACTCAGTTTTTTCCTTAATAGGATTCTTATAATCACTACTTATAGGAAGCTGAACTGCTTGGGAAGGGTGTGTTGAGAGAATAATGTCTTTTCTAGGTGAATGAAAAGTGGACAGACTTTTTTTTGTTTTTTTTTTTGTCTGGTGGTTTTTTGTTTGGTGGTTTGTTTGGGTTTTTTTTTCCTACAAGGCTTGTGAGGCACCATGAGACTTTGCTATTTTTGTTCAGGTAACTGGAGAAGAAGAAGGAATCACATAAGGAATACAGAGGTTCATAGTTACTACCATCCTTTTTTGATGATGCAGCAAGCAACACAGACACAGAATTTGAAGAGTCTTGCTTTGCAGAGTCATGAAAACAAGTTAACTTGTTTTCATACTCTAAAGGTTTGTCACTGGAAGGTTAATGGTGTCTCTTGGTGAAGCTTCCCTCAACTCCATCAAAAATTTTTTTTATACATGTAACTTCTCATTCATTTAGTTAACAATGTAAAGGTTTAGCAAGATACTTGCAGCACCTAATTGAATTCATCTGTGCTTATAAAATGTTTATTTACTTATGTAACACTTTGCTGCATACCTACAATTTGACATAAGCTTCTTGGAACAGTTTTTGATTTCTCGTCCATTCTGAACCTACCTGACTAATACAGTAGTATTGTTCTGGATAGGACTATTGAGATGTAAGGCTTAATTAATGAAAGCAAATCTGTTACTGCTTAAAAGTATGATTTCTTTAAGGCTAATTAAGGATGTATTTTCTTTTTTAATTACTACAGTGTACAGACTATGACCTGGATTATGGAACTGAATGTTTGCATCTGGCTCTGAAATACTGTAAAACAAATGCCAAACTTGTTGAAGGAACAGCTGACCTCTGGAAGGTAAAGGCAATAATATCTAGTTTTTATATATCATTTAAAATTAATAAAATTTGCATATTACCGTAAAAATTCAGATGTGTTTTCAGTTGTAAGTTAGGCTTTTCTCTTCCAAATTTTATTATTGGTTTTGTATCATCATGACCTCTTTTTAGAACTTGTTTTTGTAGATAGACTTGGGCAGATGTTACTGGAGATAATCAATGAAGACAGTATTTTTCTCGAGGTAGGAAAACCAACTAGGTACTTGAATAACCTGACCATTTGTAAAACTATAAATCCATAATCTCCAAAACTAAGAACATTCTTTTATGATATGAGCTTTCTCCTGCTATTTCTATAACTTTTGTCTATTTTTCTCAACTTTTCCTGTGAGGATATCACTCTTTCTCTTATGCCAAATACCTGGCTATCACCGATTTGATTTTTAGAGCAGTTCATTACATTCAGTAACAGTGTAATATTTAAGATCTCTTCAAAAAATCTTTTAAAAATTTTTAAACATCATTCACCTTGTCTGGTAATCTGTAGGTTCCTGATGACTAACAAAGGAGGTGTCTGTAAAGGTGCCAAAGTATACATCCCTGCTGCTTGAAAGTATTGCATTTCATTGTTTTGAATGGTGGGACATTATTCTTTCTCAGTAGCTGTTGTGTCATGCAATTTTTAAGAGTTTATTTTATTTTATTCATTAGCACATTGAAGGATCTGGAAGCAGCTCAAATCACTCCATCTATCTTTGATGGTAAATTTCCTCCAAAGGGACATGATTTCTAATAGTATGACCATAAATCTTACAAAGAAAGGTAATTTCCTGAGTCTGCAATGCAGACTTCCTGTGCAATTTAACAGCAAAATTTACTTGTGCGTTGGTTGCATACATAAACTTCTTTCAATATCTTGCTGGGACATAGTCTTTCTGAAACAGTATATGGTCTCTTTTCCTATTTATTCTTCTAAGGGACAGATTATGTCATGCATATTTACATGACATAATTTTTTGGGTGGTTTCATTGTTCTCATTGTAAGGCATGGTACTTACATGAAGGGTAACAAGATACACCAATAATGTTCACTTAGTTCTTTATAATGTTCTTTTAGTTCTCTGTGGCCCTTCCCCACCCTTCCTCTTCTGCTCTTTGGGCCGAACAAGCCAAGTTCTCTCACACCATGTTAGCACCCCTCTGCTGGGCTTCCTCCTGTTCCTCTTTGTGTTTGATTTTTCTCTCCCCTATCCAGTTCAAGAGGGGAGTGACAGAGTGGCTTTGATGGACACCTGGCATCCAGCCAAGGTCACCCACCAAAGAGTCTCAGTGCTGACAGTATAGTTCAGAGTGTGACAGTAGCAAGGGCACCCATTTCTGTGCAGATCCTGTGCTGCAGGTGGTGCAGAGCAGTGAATATGCCATATATGATATGCACAAAGATGCTGGTGCTGTGTCATTTAAGTTACCTGTACCTTTTAATACCCTATTCCATCTCTTATTTTGTAGCTAAAAGTCATTGGTGTCTTCTGCTGCTTGTGGAGACACTAAAAGTCAAAGGCACAAAAATGAGAAGGTCTGTGAAATATTACATTGTTTCTGCAGAAAATACTTTTATTAGATTAGAGACTATGGAGGAAGATACCTTCTTCTTTTTGAATAGCACCCAGGTGTTGGTCACTCTGTACCGAGGTGTTTGGCAGGTGACTTGAAGCAGTACCATTAAGGAAGAGAACAGTTGTGCTCAGTCTGTGCAGTTTGACGAAGTGCACAAGACTGCCACTTTTCTCAAATGGTCCTTGCCTACAAAATGGTTAGGAACTGTTGCTGTTTGTTACTAATCACGTTTCAGAAACACGACTGTCTTTCCTTAGCTGTGTAATAACATAATTTGTAATATATTTTTGGTTTTTTCTGTTAGGTTTTTCAATGCTGAGATAAATGATATTTCATATGCCAAGAACTGATGTGCTCCCAATGGCCCCAGTTTTATTTTTTTCAACATGAGGCAAAAGAATATTCCATCCAGATAAATAAGAACTGAAATACCTAAGACTTGTTCAGTTGAGGTTTCAGAGGATGTGTAACTGAAGATCTGTTGTCAGTTAACAGATGGAGAAGAGTTTCTAAAGTTCAACCCAGTTTCATCCTATGAGGATCTTGAATCTTTAAAGAGCAGATCAGATATTTGTAAGAGTTCAGTTTATTTGTTAGGTGCACAACCTACATAACATTAAATGACTCTGACCTGTGGGAAAAACCTGTGTATGCTTATATATTGTCTTCTTGAATTAGTACTGATTATTGTACCTGAGGACTGTCTACTTGTACATTAGGAAAAGCAACATTTCAAAGTCATTGTTGGAGCTAAAGCAAGACAGTGTGTGTTTACTTTCTGAGAACAAATTGCAAAATTAAAATAATTCTTTGTAGTGACAACAACCAAGCAGGAACATTCAAATTACTTCAGCGTTATAAATATTTATATGTTCTATTTTAAAAGTAGTTATTATATAGCTATTTATAAGATATTGGGATCAGGATGGCAAAAAAAGGAAGCAGAATGAGAATATCAACACCACATTTTTAGTTTCTCTGTGCTTGCCACCTTTGAAGCAAAATTACCTTAAATAGTCTGGGGCAATATGCTCTTTAAGTATGAAATCAACAGAATGTATTTGTTGGACTCTAATATATAGGTGTGTATAACAGATGAAAAAATCAGTGTAAGAACATTTTTAAAACATTGGTATAGATTTGTAGACTTAATGCTGACAGAGCGAAAAATCCTCACCATTTCTAAAAAACATGATTATTTTATAATCCTATAAAAATATTCCATATGAAGGAGATCTGTATGATATCTTAGTATAGGAGAGGGGAAAAACTTCATTAAGGTAAAATGCAATACATTTTGTGTATGTGTGATCATAACTTTATTGTATTTGTTCAGTAAAGAGTTATATTTTTGCATTTACTGTGCAGTTTTGTAAATCTGAAGTGTTCGTCAAGCTAAATTAGTATGAAGAAGACTTTTAAATATTGAATAGGAATAACTTCAGGGAATTTTTAAAAGAACATCTTCCTAGGTAGTGAAAACTTGCAGTCTGACCATTGAGAGAGAAGGGTACATGGGAAAACAAAACAGAAAAAATCCGTCTTGTGATTTTGAGGCTTTATTAAATAGATAAAATAGATTGTTTATTATACAGAAAAGTAGAGGTATGTTTAATAAGTAAGATTATTCTGCTTTTGCTAAATAAGCAGGTCATGTTTTCATGTTCTGTGACAGTGAGGTATTTCTGTTGAGTTCTAGTATTTGGTCTAGTGATATTCTGGATTGCAGCAACAACAATCTGAAAATCTTGGAACATTGGATGTTCAAGAGGAAAAAATGAAAAATGGTATTGTCACATGAAGAGTGAGAACCCAAGTTAGAAGCCTGTGAGTTTGATATTGACCAATAAACCAAAAAGGGTGTTCTTCTACGGGGAAAACTTGATTAATAAAGAGTTAAAGGACTAATGTAATTAATGTCAACCAACATGGAATTTGCTTATTTTGTGAAATTGACTTCAAGACTTTATTACAAGATTATAATTTTACTGATAACATGGTAATGCTGATACAACACACAGTTTGCAGAAGTTTGGCTTCTTACTGCATTGCATCTTAATTAATAATAGGATGACTGTAATTTTACTAGTTCACATTAAATAGATGAAACATTAGATAATTGATACATTTCAAAAGATAATTCTCACCATGTACAGTTCTGCAGAAACTGTTATTGTCTCTAAGGTATTTAACATCTTTCTGATAAACTTTTCAGACAAAGATTTAAGGATATGTAAATAAAAATATAATTGATCAGAAGTAACCTATTGATAAGGATTGTTTAGCAAACAGTTTAAACAAAAGGTATGCTTTTCATTGCAGCCAAATATATAGGAGTGTTTTTAGAAACAAACCAAGTATAGGTCATATTTAGAGAATAGTTCTTGGAGGGCTGTGACTTCTAAAGTAGTGTAGGAATCACAGAGGACAGCAAGTTTCCACTGTGTGTGGGCAAAATACCTTATGTCAGCCATTGATATAGAAACAAGAATATGAAATTAGAGATGTTTTAATATTACAAGTGCATCTAGAATACTGTAGTAAAATCCAGACTCAAGCTCTGAGCAACTGTTGATAAATAAGGAACCTTCAGAGATGAGCATGAAAAAAAAGATTAAATTTTATAAGTATGTAGAGATTTAGATTAGTAATGTGATAGAAGAAAAGCAGAAATGGATGAGGTAGAAATCTGTCTTCTACAAAGAGAAATCCTATGCATCATTTTTCTTGCTTCTCCCCACTGTGATGTTTTGCACCTCACCTGTGAAGAGTGGATAATGCTGCCTTACTTTGTGGTATAGAGTGTCAATTAAAGTATTCTTTCTCATTGATTTGGCTAAATCTAAATTGCTTCCAGCTGGGGTGAACCTAGAATGCAAATCCGCTTTAGTGAAACTAGACGTAAAGCAGTACAGCTGCCCAGGACAATTAACTGTTGTGTTGACTGATCTCCTAAATTGTTTGAAGCACATTCACACTAAAATAATTGGTGGTTTGAATTAAACCAAAGGGTTTATATGCCATGGTTGTCTGCCTTTTTGAATAAGTATCAGCTAAATTGCAAGAACATGTCTTAATCAACACAGGAAAATCCAGAGGCATTGTGAATATCCGTAAGTTAAGAGAAACTTTGGTTTGATTTAGCATCTTAGTCATTATTGAAAGGGATGTAGAGAATCTCTCCTTCTCTGACTGGTAAATGGTGGTCACCTGTGCTGTCTGGCAGGATTTTTCTGTTAACTTTACTGTTTTCATGAAGCTTAACCTGAAATTAGCTGATAGGATCAAAAATAATAAAAAAATACATATGCAGAATGGGATATGGTCTCAAATGATTCATTTCTTTAGGAAGACACTCTAAAAAGTATTTGCTGATGTCTGGCTCAGAATTTCAGAGGGGATTTTTTTAAAGGTTCATTCTTGCATTTTATTCTTTTCTGCTGTTTTCTTGAAGACTGTACTTAAATTTTTTTTTTAGATCAGACTGTTTAAAAGTACTTTTGCATCTCAAAGAGATTGTGAACCTTAGAGTATGTGAGACCACTTCTGATAGTTGTTTCTTGAAAGGTTTTTAGTTGATAATCTGTTACACTTTACTGAAAGTTCAGTGTAAAAGCACTCTAGAGACTTGATAGAAAGAAACTTTGCAACAAAATTGGTCCCTCCTTATCCTTAAAATTAATTTCAAGACATTGTTTCTTCCCAACAGTAAGTAGACATGTACGTGTTTGTATGTAAACTCAGACACCTAAGATTTCTCAAGCTAGATTCATTCTCTGGCTGCTTCCTCTGCAGGACAAACTGTATGGAAGTAAGTTAGTTTTTAATTTTAAAAGAATATGATGCCTTGGGGAAGTGATGATGGAGGTAATATTATTTGTCTGTTTCTGACTACAATACAGAGCTTCATTTATGAGATCAAAAGGAAAGTGGTTACAAGAATCTTTATGGTAAAATCAAATAATCACTTATTTGGAGACTAAGATGCTGATACCTACAATGGTGTCCTTCTGCTGTAAGATTTAATTTGCAGCACTAGAGCTCTTGGAATCCTCTGCAGGTCATTTTGAGGAAAAAAGTTGTTCAGAGTAGAGAAACAAATGCAGAAAATCCAATAAAATTTTATATAACATAAATGGAAGTTACAGTCAAACCAAATACAAATATTAAAGAGTTATGTCAGTACAAGTCACAGCATGTCATTGTGAAGACATTGACAAAGACTGGTAATGTCTTGGATAGATGCTGTCTTTAATTTTACATTATTTTATTTGCAAAGCCTATTACTGGGACTGTCAACCACCATGAGGGTACAAAGGCAAGTATGAAAGGTGTTTTTTGCGAGTACCGAGTAAATACTCAGCATCTTATTGTCCATCTAACTTGATCTGATGAATACCTTCAAGAAGATCTTGATGGTTTTTAATTCTCTGAAAGCTCACACAAAGTCTCCTTGTAGTCTCACTGACTCCCACTGATTAATTGGACTCTCATTAACGGTAACTGTCTTGCACTACTGAAAAATTGCACCTGTATTAGTAAAAATAATTAGATTGCTTCTTGGTTGTCATTTGTATGGTCTCGAGTCCTATTAAAAATGAAATTTTTTTGCAATAAAACTAGGGTAGAATGAAAATAGATGCAATATCATGTGTTCGTGATTCTTCAAAGAATTGAAAATAGTTTTAGGTTTCAAATGAGTTCTAAGCAGATCTAAGTATTTAAAAAAGGATTTCCTCAAGTTTCCAGTAATTTTGGCAACCTCTGTTCTCATAATTTGCCAGTGATATTTTACCAAAATTAAGAAATTGACAATATCATTTGTTTATGGTATTTAAAATGTAAAGAATTGCCTTCAGGGCATTGTTTTATTGGTTTTGCATTCCTTCCTGCTGTGTTAAAACTAATGAGGCTCGTCTGTCCTTTAGGTGACCTACAAGCGGGATCTGTATGCAGCTGAATCGATTATTAAGGGTATGTGTTTGTCCTTGTGACTGTCAGTTTGCATATTTCTGAGTCTAATTAAGAGTCTTGTGTGCTATAATTTGAAATGTCATTAAGAAAGGTTTTATGATGGATGAAATGTGCTGAGGCAAGTTGTTTTAGCTTGTTCACTGGAATACTTGTATTATGCATATTTACCTTTATTTACTTCTCTTAGAATAGAGAACCTTATAAAAAGCTGTGTATATTACAGTCAAACAGAGATAAATTTTGAATGGCTTTATAAGGAATAAACAATTTATTTTTTTCTTTGCTTTGCAGATCAATTCTGAATATGTTCCATCTTTCTAAGCTAAGTAGTAGACTGAAAATTAAACATTAACTCCTTAGGGCTCTTCACTATCTTACACACAGCCAGTTATTACCTTAATTAATACAGCAACTACATGATATTAAGGTATTTCATTAATTTATAAGTATTTTGTTGAACTGGTTTTTAACCTTTTTTTTGTACTGGTAACAGTGGTTTCATAGCAGTTTAACATAAAGACTGGATTTAGCCTTTATCTAGATTGTTTTTAGAGTGAGTCAATATAGAAAGGAAGAATTGTCAAGTACTGCACGTATAACAAGCACACCGATGGGTATTGTAAACTGGTAGGCAGTGATTCAGGGGACTCTTGCCTGACTCCTTGTTGAGAACTGAGGGATAAAACCGCAGAAACGGATGAAGAGAAAGGGACTTATCTTGGGATTAAAAATACCTTTCCAGAGAAAAGAATGTAGTTCCTATTTAAGAGAACTAGAGCAAAACCTGTGTGCTATTAGGGCATGGTGAGTGACTGGCTCACTGACACCTAAGTGAACATTGTTTGCTTCGGTGTCTCATCTGTTGTTACAAGGCTTAGCTTCTGATTTGGGTAAATTAGACCATGCTGTGATCAGCTCTGTCACTATAGACAAACTCGAAAGCCTAAACAGAGCTCAGACATTGCTGTGATATTCTCTTATGCTTCTTATCTAGACCTCCAGGTATGCAACAAGTCTGAAGCTTCTGGTTATTACAGTGGGCAAAGACTACATATTATATGCATTGTTAGAACCACCTGACTGAATTTTTTAGGCACAAAAGAAGATAGGGCTAGGAAGCCTTGGAAGTTCTAGTTCTGACAGGAAAGGAAGAACTTCTATCTTCATAACCGGAAACCTAGAATTTTTGAAAATGTTGTTTTGTGTAGGATTGTTAGAGGTTCCACACTCTTAGCTTTCAAGCTCAGGATTTCCGAACATATTGAAGACAAGAAGGTGACTAGGATTAGTTTACATAAATTTACAAAGCAGAAATTATGCCTGACAAACCTTCTGCAATGAAATGTAGAAATAATTGGAGAGCAGTGGATATGGTTTGTCTTGATTTCAGAAAGGCTTTTGACACTGTCTCCCATGGCATTCTCATTGACAAACTGATGAAGTACAGACCAAAAAAGTGGACATGGATTGAAACTGGCTGAACTGCCAGGCTCAAAAGAGTAAATTCCAGCTGGAGCCCAGTTACTAGTGGTCTACCCTAGGGATCAACACCAGTTAAAATCTTCACTGATGATCTGAATGATAGGGCAGAGCACACCCTCATCAAGATGATGTAATATTGGGAGGAGCAGTTGATAGACCAAGTGGTTGTGCTGCCATTCAGAAGGACCTTGACAAGCTGGAGAAATGGGTGAACAGGAGTCTCGTGAAATGCAGCAAGGGGAAATGCAAACTCTTACCCTTTGGAAACACCATTACAGGCTGGGGACTGACCAGCTGTAAGGCAGCTCTGCAGAAAAGGCCGTGGGAGGTCCTGGTGGAAAGCAGATTGAAGAGGAGCTGGCAGTGTGCTCCTGGGGCAAAGAAGGCCAACAGCTCCCTGGGCTACGGTAGAGCAGAGCATGACCAGCAGGTTGAGGAAGCTGATCCTTCCCCTTTGCTCAGCACTGGTGAGGTCACATCTGGAGTGTTGGGTTCCCCCATCAGGAAAGACATGGTCATTCTGGAGACAGTTGTGCAAAGGGCCATCATGATGATTAAGGTAGTGGAATGTCTATCATATGAGTAGATGCTGTGAGAGCATGGACTGCTCTATCTGGAGAAGAGAAGGCTCAAGGGGATCATAACCAACGTGTACAAATACGAGATGGGGCAGAGTGAAGAAGATGAAGCCAGACCCTTTCTCGGTGGTGTTCAAAAAATTATAAATTTGAAACAACTAGTGAATTTCCATGTGCCTGTATACACAAAGGCTTCAGTAATCTCATAGGTCATTAAAGGAGATTAGTTATAATTTATTTTAAAATTAAGATATATTCCAAGCAGCTTTTCTAAAACTGCTTGAGTAGAAAATGAGAATGCAACTTATTTGAATGAAAGGAACATTCACTAACTGTTTCTGGAGAAAAAATATGTTATATGTGTATTTCATCATGTTATCACATTTTTTGTTTTCCCTGAAGCCAGTATAGTCTTTTCCAGCTGATGATTATAATAAAAAGTTTTTGTAGTTTAAAGTAAAAATGAAGACCTTCATGGTGGCCAGTCAGGCTAATCCCTTACTTGATCTCTACTTATCCAGTGTTCTGTTGCTGTGGCAGCATGCAATATATCTGCTTCAGTAACCACAGTAGTTCTGTTATGCCTGGTGTCTATGAAAAACTGTACTTTAAGATCACTGAAGTTTAGATTTGTTTCTTGCTGCATTGCATGAGTTCAGGAAGGAGAAGCTGCACATGTTCTTTGCTCCTTATGCAAGCAGTATAATGAGACCTCTGTAGCAAATTAGGACACTGCATAACAGAGTTATGTTACATAATTAGTTATCTTTAATGGGGTTTTGAAATGGCACTGTAAGTACTCCAAGACTGCAGTTTGAGAGTTGTGCCTTATCTATTTTGTGCCCTTCAAAAGGCTTCAAATACCAGATCTTCACATGGTTATAACGTGACTTATTTTGGTAGTGGGCAGTTGAACCATGCAAATAATATTAGACAGGTGCTTTATTCACAGTTCATGCCCCACTTAAAGCATATTTAGGGGGACAACATATTTTTGGTCCTTTTGAGCATCATTCTGATGTACCCCCATGTGGCTGTGGCATCATCCACAACTTCTCTGGGCAACCTGTTTCAGTGCCTCAACACCTTCACAGTAAAGAATTTCTTCTTAATATATTATGTAAACCTACTCTCAGGTTTGAAGACATTCCCACTTGTTCTGTCACTACATGCTCTTGTAAATGATGCACTCGTACTTGTCATTCCCCTTTTGTGCCATGTAGAGAGCCTGAAGGAGAAGTCCTGCATGATTCTGTGAAGCTGAGTTGCAAAGTACCAGGTCTTGGAAGACCACCTTGCCTGCTGCCAAGGTTCTCAGGAGATGTCCCAGAAGCTAAATGTATGGGCTAGGAGGGTGTAGGGTGCAAAGGGCTCTGGCCTCACACCAGATCCACGCTACTGTTGCAGTCTTCACAACTGATTTTTTTTTTCTTACTAAGTTACCCAGTTTACTGTGCTGGATGCACATTTTATCACTGGATGAATTCAGTAGTGATGAAGAACTTTTGAGTGTACACATTTAATTTTTTGACTACAATTCCAAATTTCATGTAATCTACAGTTTATATTTATTAGTCATTGAAACTTTTGGTTTCCTTCAGCAGTTCAACAACTTTCAGCTTGCTAAACTTGACTCAGATGGAAAGAAACATACATGCCTAAATACATTTTTGTACTTTAGATATTTATATGTATATATATAATTCTTATTTAAGGCAATACAAAGAAACATTTCACTAATGTAAATAGACTAATGAGTTATCTTTTGAGACTGTTTTCTTAAAACACTTCTTAATAATTTGTTAACTTCCTCAAGTCTCTTTTATAACTGTATTATGAAAGTCTGAATCCTAGCATCATTTGTTTTATAAACAGCAAATGTAATACTTTTATTTAGTTAAGCAAGTATAAACTTGTAGAGTATGCAGACAAGGTGGCACACGCCTATTTTTAATAGTCTTGAAGTAGGAAAACATTGTCTTACAATAAGCGTGACTCATCTAAAAATGTAGTTAAGATCAGGTTAATACAAAACATCCTAAAAAAATTCCATTAGGACTACTGCCCTCAGGGTAGGTATCTTTGAACTCTAGTTTCAACATGTAAACTTTAAATGATGCTTCTCAGTAGAAGTTTATAACTTACAGTTTGACTCACTCTCCTTCTCCTTTTCTTAAGGGCCCTTCTTTTTCAATGACTTTTTCACAAGAGAGTTCACTTACATATTGGATATTTTGCCCTCACATGTGGCTAAAGAAGTGTCTGTTGATGTAGGTACAATTATGTTTTTGCAAGTGCCAAGAAAAATATCTTAATACCTTCAAACTGTTTATGATTCTTGAGAACTACATATTATGATTTGTGTTCTGTGAAGAAACCATGTGACTTTTTATAAAAATAAAAATTGAGGTAAGCATTGTTTATCAAAGGACAGAGTTCTTACACGAGGTAGACTGCATTTTCATGGGCATGCTCATGAACCGGTGGCTGTTTTCTGCTGTGAGGCAAAGAAATAGACTGGCAGGTGGGGAAATGCTCCTTGGAATAGTTACTGTCAGGAGGAAATAACCCCCTTTCTTGTCTTTTACCACAAAATCTTCCTTTCTTTCTTGTATACAAATATTGGTAGGGGCAGTGTCAAGTTTGACGTTTAGTTTTTGGGGCTACAGAAACATGTGGAGTGGGTAAAAAAAAATTGTTAGATATTTTTGGTTACCTATGTTGTTTGGATAACAGTTTAAACTCATTCTGTTGAGCATGAATGAACTAAATGGTTGGCAGTACTTATTTCATTTTTCTTAGGTTTACAGTAGTAGCATCTCATAACAAAGATGTTTCTAAGGATGCCAGGGGAAACCATATTGAATTTCCAGACCACTCAAGCCATTGCTATGTAGAAAGTGAAAATGGAATTCTGGTAAATTAATTTATTTCTTTGAATTCATTGCAAACTTCAAAATTTTGATAAATAGGATGTGCATCCAAAATAATAGGTATTGTAATGGCAGACCAAGAATGATGTGGAATGAGCATATGTATGCAAAAACAAGTGTATGTATACACACCTATGTGCAATTAAGAGAAAAAAATTATGTTTGTAGGCTAAAACCTATTTACCATTCAGATGCATTTTTTTCTTATGGCTTTAATTCCCTAGATTATGATACTTATGATCCTTATTGAAACAAACTGTTATTTTAATTGCTGCTTGTTTGTGGCATGCTTCTCAGGGTAAACCTTTAAGTCTTTCATTACAGTACACTTAATACACCATCTAACTAAGGTAGTTAGTTCCATAAACATGCACACAAGTTAATTTATAATTGGGTAGGATCCTAGGATAAAGACTGTGGCAGGTGTTGCCAAATAATAATGTGATCTAAAGCTTTCAGGATATCAAAGAGGGGCAGGGAAAACTTGAAAATTAATTTTTCTGATGGATGAAAAAAAAAGGGAGGTGTAGTGGAACACATTCTGAAATTCTCTCTCAAATTTAGCTTTAATGAAAAAAAAAATTCCTGATAGGGAAATTTAGTGTTTAAATTTGGCAGTGCAGAGTTTTAACTATTTTTTATATTATGCAAAAAATATACTCTGAGTGGATGTTAAAAGTGATGGATGAGGTCAAATGAGATGCATGTGAATGGGGAACATTACTCCATAATCAGATACATCTGGGAAGAAGCTGAGAGCTAATGGGAGAGGAGTATTGGAAGAGGAGGTTTCCAGGGAAATAATAGGTTTAAAGTAAGTAGAGGACAAGGAAGCCAAAGCAAGATGGAGAGTTTAATATGTAATGCAATAGTGAGAAAAGAACAAAAAAATGGTTTGGTGGATGAAAAGGAAGTTATGGCAGAAAGTAGGGAAGTAAAGTAGAACAGTGGTGCATTGTAGAGGGACAAGAGGTAATAGACAAAAACTGAACCAAGTGAAGTTCCAACTCAAGAAAAAGGAAAAACTCTTCCACCATGAGGACAATTAAGCAATGAACAGGTTGCCTGGAGACATTGTGCAGTCTCTGTCTTTGAAGGTTTTCAAGTGTGGGAGGGGCAAGGGGCTGAGTGACCAGGCCTAACCTCATGGGTGATCCTGCTTTGAGAAGGAGTTTGGACTAGAGACTTTCTGAGGTCCTTTCCAGCCTCAATTATCCATGGTCTGATGGAAAACAAAATGGTTTTAGCTGAGTATTAAAATTCTTTGTGACATGGCCATGATGTGGCTTTCCAGAATGGCTGTTTCATTCACTCAAAACAGAATTCTGAAAACCAGGAATGAAATGCTGCATGCAGTTAGCTTTACTGGCAGGCAGCAGAATTCATGGAATTCATGAAGTTACCAACCAGCACTCCAGATGTGCTTGCTGTGTTCAGCGTGGTTACATTGAGCCACAGAGCTCCATCAACTTACCAGAGGTGGGACACAGGCAGTCTTGGGGAGGAAGGCTCCACTCGGTCTTCCTTTCCGCAATGCAGCAAAGGTGCAAACTGTCAAAATTAACAGAGGTCTTTTTTGACCACTTGAAACAGTTTGGACTTAAATGGAAAATGAGTTTCAAACCTCAACTAGAACATAACTGTTGCTTTGCTATGCCGACTTTATAAATGATGATTTCCTAACCTTCCTTTGTAGACTTCCTTGATCATTTAAAAGCATGCAGTATCTTTTCAATTTGTGTATTATCGTTGTTTTAATGTTCTCATACTTTATTAATAGACTTTCCCCTTAGAACATTACATTCCTTCTCCAGACTAAAAATACATTTTTCCACACTTAATTGAATTTTCTCTCTTCTTTGTTAAATCCAACCTGCATATCTTAGTCACTTTTTTGGTAATTGCCTCTCTCATTTGTTGCAGGAAGTTAGAGGTCTAAGAGGGCTGGAGAGAGGAGTGAGATGGGTCTCTATAGCTGCAGTCTTTGAGCAGCCTCTTGTGAGATTACTTTTGACACTTACTGTTGATTACAGACTTCTTTTTAAAAGAACTGTCTGAGCCTAAGTTATGGTGCCTTTTGGGGTTCCACAGCCTTCTTCCACATGTGCATTCTTGTAATAGTTCCAATCTGACCTTCTTCATTAAATTACTTAGTTCAATAGAATCTGAGTTCTTGAAATCTGATATGCCAGTCTGGTTTATTATGTATATCTATCTTGTATCTGCATTCCATGTACAGTACTAAATTCAAGTGACTTGCTCTGATTTAAATCTACCCACTGGTTTCTTTCTGGTGATAAGAAATTAATTCAATATGGTTTCCTATTGAACCATTTTTCAGATGGTAAAATTATTCTATATTAAGTAGAAGACAACTGTGATGCATGTTCAATATATTTTTTTGCCTAGTGAATCTATGGGAAGATAATTTCTCCTGCAGTTTTGGTATCCTGTGATTTCCAGTCCTGTGAGAACTGACCATGCATTTTTTTTAATTCTCACTTTCATCTGGTTGTGATGGTTTATAAGCAGATGTTCATTGTTCTCTCTCTTTCTTTCTCTCTCTCCCCATTCTTGCTAACTGAATATGAAGTCAGTTGCTACCACTGTTTTTGTTGTCACATTATAAATATTGGACATAATAAATACCCATGATTCAAAAAATCATTCTAATTATCCTTTGTGATTCTCAGCGGTTAATTTACTTTTCCTGCTCACAGAAAATTGCTTGAAAGTTACAAGACACTTTCTAATAATGTTAACTCTACAACAGCTTTAAAATTAATTTTCAGGTCTTTATGTCTATTTTTGTAAAGAAGTCTTTGAGTTTACAGTAGAAAGTGAGTTGTTTACTTAAGAAATGCATCTGAATGAACTTATTGTGTTGTATGTAATTATAAAAAAACTTTCCACATGCAAAAAATATGTATCCTTATATTCAGACTTGTTTGAAGAGCAGTTAGACCATATTTTTATAATTTCTCTTATGTCTTTCACTACTAATTTATTTTGTGGTGGTGTTTGGTATATTTCTGTCCCTGAAGTTTCATTGAAGTCTGCTTTAAACGTAATTCGACTTCACATTTGTGAAATTTCTCTTTACTTATGCAATGGCTACCCCAAAAACATTGGAAATCCTATATTTTGCTCTGCGTAGTAATTCAGCATTTAAAGGATAAATTTCTGAATTACAGCTGAGAATTTCAGACTTGAATTATTTTGATTTATTTGCTTAAAGAAAGGAAAATGCTCACCAAATCTAATACCTCTACTGAATAACTAGAGAAAATACTAATTTTCTGAATTGTGGGCTTTATGGAACAGATCAGGCGGTAACTTGAAACTTGATAGCAACAAAATACTATATTTTCCCACACCAGTAAAAGATCTAGGAAATTGCCCAATCCATGATCTTTGTCACTGACTCTTCCAACTTCTTTGATGTTGTGGTGAACAGTTATATCTGCTGTCTCCCTGAACAGTATTTTCAATATACTTTTTGGGGGCGATTTTGTAGTGCATATTGTTGGGAAGCAGATTTATGCTATCTCCTGGTTTTTTGCTTTTTTTTTCTTTTCTCAGTATTGCTGATACTGCATTCAGTGATCTGTTGAAGTGATACGTCACATGAACTTTTAAAAATTTTTTCTTGATTGTCGTCTACTGTCATTAATGTGGACCTGAAAAATATCTTGTAAAAGGAATCCCTTATTTAAATGGGCTTTGGGGACAGGCCTCATGAGATGATTTCACATTGCAGAAAATCATAAAAAATATAAGTTGAATTTTATATTTGAAATGTATGTTATATAAATGATGTAGTTAGATTAACTGTGCCTTGAAATAAGTAGTCTTTATATTTACAGCTGTTGAAAAGGTTCTTTCAAGAGACAGCAATATGAATTGAAGGTAATGTTTAGCAGGTTGGTAACTTTGATTGATTTATTTTTGTATGAAATACTAAGGTTTTGTTCTCAATCACAGACAACCTTTCACAAGAAGTTTGTGTTATTACCGATGCAAATGAAACTGTTGCACAAGTTGGTTTTCTCCTTCCTGAATCTCTGAAAAGTCAAATAAAAGTAAGTGCAACTCTATGGCTTTCAACTGTATGATTAATGTGTTTCTGGTTGCCACTACTCATAAGAAATGGTCTAAATAATGTGAATACAGAAACTGAGACTTCCTGTGTCACTGTAGTATTTATTACACAGGATTAACACCAGGTGTGGAAGTTACCAAGAAAGAAGCATCTTCTGCCCAGTTATGATGTAGAAGGGGATCTTACAGCTCCACTTAAAATGTATATATTAGATTAGAGGAGAAATTGAATCCAGACAACGGAGAGGCCATTTTCTTTAGATTTTATGAATTCAGTAAGCCCAAATTGTTACAAATATGTTACAGAGGAAATGCTTTTGTTACTTTGAGGTTAAAGTCTGAACCAATTAAAGAGTAAGTTGTTTTCCTGCAGAGCTGCAAGTGCAAAATCTAATTAATCAGTTTTTTTGTAGAGTCTAAGGGGTACATTTCACTCACAGTGAATGCACATTGAAGCCTTTGCTTTAGGATACTGATGGAATTTTCTACTGTCATTTAATTATCTTTTTCCTTTTTCATTATTCCTTCTAATAGAGCTATCATATTTCCATTTTCCCAAAGGTGATTAGCATTTGGTAATTGGTTAGATTTTGCCTGGTCTTGGAGTGATTCTTAGTTGTATCTTATGTGATGATATTACATTTTCCTATTACCCAGAGAAACTGACAGGGAATAGTTGTTCAAAACCACAGGTTTCCTGATTTTCATAGTGTTACTTCTGTAATGGTTGTATTCATGTGTGTTGATCTTCTGCATGGTGTACTTAGTTATTAGAATGATATTCTTCTCTAGCAAACTGTATTGGTGTTTTATATCTAGAAATCTCATTTGACATTGCACTTACAGTTTTTGTTTAGAAACAATTGTATTTAGTATGGAATCATGGTTTATATCTATTAAATACTATATTTATAAGTCTAAGATCTTTTTTGTCTGAATAAGTGTATAATGGGGCAGAAGTATATAATCATTTCACTGACACCATCTCCGTTGCTATTTCTTCTTTTTTGTCTCCATGTAAACTATTCTGCAATTAGTAGGAAGACATCACTTACCCATATACTTCTTTAAGTGTTGACTTATCTGTATCTGTTAAGTATGGTTGCATATAATCCCTTTGATCATACCATGAGTAGCACTTCCAAGCCAGTAAGAAAAATCAGTGCATATGTCATGTTTGATAACCAACACTGCAACTTTGAACTGAACAACCTCAGATCAGAACTAGTTAGAATTTACAACATGTTGCCAAATTTTCATTTCATAACTGGTTAATTATTGGGTGAGTCAGGCACCTGAACCTGTGGTGCATTTGAATAAAACACATGTAAAATGAACTCAAACAAGGTAATGAGGACATGAAATTGTAGGGATTCCTACTGATATAGGACTGATTTTTTTTTTTTAATGGCTCTATTAAATCAGTTTATTTAATTCATTTCTAGCACTGTTCCTTGAAACATCCTTCAATATTCATTTAATGAAGCCTCAGGGTTAAAATCTATAAAAATTATGTATTGTCTTGTTTTTAAACAATAAAATTGCTAAGTGTTAATTCATAAGGTTACCAGTATACAGAACTCCTAACCTTAGAAGGAATTTTGTGTCGGGGGCACACTTCTGGTGCCCCCAACATAAGAAGCACATGGAACTATTGGAGCAAGTTTAGAGGAGGGCCACAAAGTTGATAACGCAACTAGAGCACCCCCTTACAAAGACAGGCTGAGAAAGTTGGGGCTGTTCAGCCTGGAGAAGAGAAGGTTGTGTGGAGACCTCATAGCAGCCTTCCGATAACCGAAGGAGGCCTGCAGGGAAGCCAGAGAGGGATTCTTTGTCAAGAAATGTAGTGATAGGACAAGGAGTAATTGGTAAAAACTGTAAGAGGGAAAAGTTAGGTTAGATATACGCTTTACTCTGAGGGTGGTGAGGCACTGGAACAGGTTGCCCGGAGAAGTTGTGCATGTCCCATCCCTGGAACCGTTCAAGGCCGGGTTGGATGGGGCATTGAGCATCCTGGTCTAGTGGAAATTGTGCCTGCCCATGATCTTTAAGGTTCCTTCCAACCCAAACCATTCTATGATTCTATGATAGCCACTGACCTATGATTTCTTAAATGAAGCACTGTAAACTTGTGTGAGAGAGATTTAATTTTGTGCAGTGTGATAATTATTTTAAGCAAGTTAAATGTACTGCACTGAAAGCTGGGCCTTTTCAAAGGGCGAATTGGAGGGTAATTGATCTAAATAATAGACCAGTTGGGAATCATTCAGTAAAGTACGTATTATCTGAAATTTAAACTTAATTTATTTTAACATTTTAGCTAGTTTTGACACTAATTCTTAGAAGGAGCCATATTTACTTTTGAGATATTTCTTGACTCCCATATGTATCATTAAAGAAGAATTTAAAAGAAATTTTGTTTGAGGGATTTCTGAGAGAGACTCTAATAACATAATAATGCCAACAGCAGGGGGAAAAAAGACCTAAAAATAGAACTGATAAAGAAAATGAAAATAAAAACTTTTCTAAAAAAATTTTTTTAGGCAACAGTTATTGCTTGCAAAGTACTTTAAGAGTATTTTAATCACTGTTACTCTAAGCAGTATAACTAAGGAATGAATGTTTTGCTCAAGATATGTTACTGTGAAAGACATAACTTGAATATTTTCTTAAGGATGTTATTTAGCCCTTTCTTTTAAAGCAGACAAACCTAAATGGGGGCTGAAGGTGTTTTCTTCTGTGACTGGAAATTACTTCTGCTTTTTCAGTGACAAGGTGCTGCTATCACATGAAATGCAATCAACTGGATAAAGTTATGTGTTATTTTTGTGAATGGATAAATATCCACAAGCAGCATATAAAAATATCTGGTTGTTTTCAAGTAGGAAATGAACTAGCATTTCACTAGTAGAAATTCACTAGTTTCTTAATGATTGCATTGTCTATCTGCTGGATTGGTATTAATTGTAATTTTAAATTCTGATATAATTTAAATAACTTTTACAGCTTCCCAATATCTTGGGATAAATTTTAGATTTTATGAAAGTGGATGCTGAATGAAGTTGAAACTTCAGCACAGGGCATCTGATAAGTAACAGAAACATTAAAGAAAACATATTTATAACTCCGTTTTCATGTTCTTGCCGTCTTTGCTTCTTGAACTAGCTGAATATCAATTGGTACAAGGACCAGAAGTAATTAAGCAAATCCATATGCTCTTTTCTATTTAAACACTGAAACGCTATGTGACAATCACTTTTTACCAAGGTGGTATTTTTAGGTAATTTTTGCTCTCTCAAGTAGCTGATAACATTGATTAATATTAATTTTAATTTTAAAAAGTATTTTTGCATAGGAAACTAAGATGCCAAATAGAATAAGAATTCGTTTTAGTTAATTGATGATTTATTGAAGCTTCTAATAAGGCAGCTGTGCTTTCTTTTCCAACAGAGGAATTTGATTTATTTTTTTCTGGAAAATATGGCTGTAAAAAAATGCTTAGTTTGCTGCTTTATCAAATTGTGAAGTTAAATCAAAATTCTGATACACTATATGAATTTTTAAATGTTCAGGAATACTTAAGCGTCACGTATTATAATATCTCAAAGGAAAAAATAAAAGTAGGCCTTCTGCCTTGGGTCATGTTCCAAATACCTTCTGAAAAGACTCTGGCATGCAGTGTGCTCCTGTTCCTCAAAGTATAGGCAAGGTTGTAAAGGTACCAGGAATTTCTGATTTTATATCTGCAGAGGTTCAAGCCAGGAGAGCCCTGGAGTATTGCATTTTTCAAGTATTTTTAAGTAATTCATACCTTCTGTGAATTTTTTTTTAAACCTTTTAAAATATGAAATGTCAACTTTCTGGGGTATGTTATCAAAATTTCAACCCAAAATGTTTCTGAAATCCTTAGAACATAAATATCAACTTTTGGGCTTTAAACCACCTTCCTTTGCAAAAAGTTAACTCCCTGAGTATTAAAAAAATAAACAAATACAGCTTTAGATAATATTACAAAACCATTTTAAATGTTGTATTTGGTGCTTCTGTTGCATTGTGGATTAAATGACATTTTGAGGGAATACAGCAGTGTATTGCTTCTGTCATTTTCTGTGATATATAATATGTCTTTTGGCCAGAAATAAAGCTCAGTTGAGCAGCGGAATGAGGGATTTGCTGGTTTAATAGAAGCAATATGAAATTGGGGATTTTTTGCCTTATTTTAAAGATTTTTTTATTTACTTCAAAGTGTTATTTCCTATTGGGGAACAAATTCCCCCTCTACTACCTGATTTGCTTTTTCACTTAAGGCAATCCTGAAGCTGATAATGGAGTAGAATCTACGTTTTATTTTAACTAGAATAAGGTAGTTTCTTAACTTGTGTCACAGGTTGCAAAATAAGATTAAGACAGTATTTTAGAGTATTCATTGAGGAAATATTTTCAGAAGAAACTCTAGATGAGTCTTGTTGTATCCTAGAATACCAATACCAGTACACCTGGTCTTTCATGCATACTTAATGTTTTTTATTTTTAGCTTCATGAAGACAAAATACCTAGATATTTGAAAATTATAGAGATTTTTCTCAGAATTAGAGATCTAAAATCATTAGATCATCGTGATCCTGTGGCAGTTGAACATCCTAACCCGGGCAGCAGCACTTGTGTCTGATGCTTCCCGGGCTGTTTCTGCTGTTTCCCTAGCAGAATGCTTCAGCACAGGTTGGGCTCCATGCTTCACTGTTGAGTCATCCAAAAATCTGAGCAAATTTCAATTCTTGTAGTGGAAATAATAATTGCCATTTTAAAATAATTTGAATGAACAAACTCTGCCATAATAGCAGAAGCTTTAGCAGAGAGTTAAGGCTGAAGTAAAATTTATGACTTTTTTTGTCTCATCAGGTTGAAACTGTATCAATATCTCAAAGCAGAAATGATAGCCATCTACAAAGCATCTTTTCAGGACAGTACTACAATTTTGTTTGTGTAAATGTAAGTAGTAAGGATGCATGCTTTTACCTTTGCACTTAAACTTGTTAGTAGTGGTAAATATAAAGTATCTGAATAGTAAGTTGTTTATTATTTCTGTTCTCATGCTGTATCCATTCTAAAGTTTGATGTTTCCGATGCGCACCAAACTGGACTTTTGAGCATAATTATGTTGTTAAACCAAGCATGAATTCTTGAACAAGAGGGATGAAACTGAAAGTAGTTGAAGATTCCCTTTCATAGATGTTGTATTGAAGTGAATTTTCTCAAGGAAAGTCTGTCATATGCGTAGTCATCTAACTGTGCATTGCCACCATGGTCTAAATTAATGTTTCCCATTCTGGACATATGTATGCCATGTAATCTGTATTTGGGTCGCAGTATGGGAACAGGAAGGTTCCCATGAACCATAGATGAACCATATCTAAGACGAATCAAGACTTTTAATCTTGTTTTATATATAGATATTTCTTAAGGGTAATATTAGTAATCTCCATTTTTTTCAAATAGCTATAACTTTACCAAACAATACCATTACATTTGTATATTAAAACCAAGCAACCCAAAACCCCCAAAACAAAAAAAGTGATGTGTTGGGGTTTTTTTTCGTTTTGTTTTGTTTTGCTTTTATGTTGTTGTTGGTGGTGGTGATTTTTTTTTCGTAAATGACAGATCTTTGAATTCTATTTTTATAATTTTTATGATAGTTTTTTATGTAGTTTTGATGTTCTCCATAATTCTAGACATTTATTTTCATTTAGGATAAAAAGTGTGCCATTCAAGAAACCCAGCAACTAGTGCATATGTTGGAAAAATCAGATATCTTATATCCAGTTGTCCTTATTTCGGTAGGTAACTCCTGTAAGTTACTGTAGAAAGCATCTCATGAAATTTTTTAAATGTTAGACTAGGCTTAAACTTCTACTAGCTCAGAATAAAATTATAAATTCTAGCTGTAAATTGGACTCTAAAGAGCCTCATTTGCACTTCAACAAGTGCATGCTGTCAGGAAATAAACTGACACTCGCAAATGACAATTTATTAGTTATATATTTCTATGAAAGACTCATTGTGGCTGGCTGGTTGTACTGAACTATAAACTCCTGCCTTACTGCTGGGCTCCGTCTCTGCTGAGGATGCTGCAAATCATGTGTTGTGCTTAAATGCTGAGGTGAAACAGAATTAAGTGGCTTTATTTTTTTCTATGCTATGTAGTTTATTCAAAGTTTTAAAATTATTGTTGCTTTTCTGGTCCAAGTCTTAAAAATTAACTTTGAAGTACTTTTCAATATAACTAATACATACTTTACTTACTGAGGTGTAAGACTGAAAAGTCTGTTCTGGTACATGGCAAAAGTTTTAAAGTGTACTTTTTGCTGAATTTTTCATTGTTCAAAATGAATGCCAGAATAATGATGAATCTTAATATGTGAAATGAATGCCAGAATACTTTACCAGTTCATACAAATGACAGCTGAAGTGTACATGACTTTTATTTTATTCAGACTGTTAAAAAGGAGAAAATACGAGTAGATTTGAAAGTCTACAGGCAGTGTAACCAGCTCCAATTAATTCTGTCATTATGTTTTCTGGCTTAATAGCTAGGGATGAGAAGTATTGGGTGGAATGAGAGTCATTAATGCCGTCTGTCACAAAAAGTGTGCCTCTGGACTTCATTTATTACACTCTCCAGCGATAACACAAGATAATATGTTGTGATTTTAAAGTATAATTCCATATATGAAACTCTTGCAAAAGGAATATTTTTCATGGGTCCTGAATAGTTACTAAAGTCCACAGTGTAGTGACCTGGTGGTAAAACTGAGCATTTACTTTGGAATTTTAGCTTAAACTGAAATTTAAATGATGAAATTTCATTACTGAACTTACAACTAAACGAGATATTGTGAAGATTAATTACTTTTACAAAGGAAAAACGTTACATAGATTCACAAAATTAGTTTGGAGAAGACTTCTAAGATCATCAAGTCCAACTATTAACCCAGTACTGCCAAGTCCAGCACTAAACCATGTCCCCAAGTGCCACATCTACACATCTTTTAAATACATCCAGGGTTGGTGACTCAACCATTTTCCTGGGCAGCCCTTCCGTGAAGAAATTACATGCCTCCCATTCAGTTACCCATTTACAAGGCTACTGGATATGAAAAATGCTCTTTTCTGGACTGAGAGTGTTTTCATTAGTCTGTTATATCAAGAATTTAAAAAAACATTTCCGTCTATGTTAAATTTTGGAGTGTGCAGATAAAGTTGGAATTGTTCGTCAGCCAGCTAAGGTGTTAAAAGCATGCTTATTTTGTGCTCAATTCTTAGCTACGTTCTGGTCAGGACTTTGAATTAAATATGTTTTTTAGTGCGACACACAGAATGTGAGAACTTAATATTGTAGCTATAAATATTCTGGTCTTAATATCTACTAAGAAGCAAGTATGAATGCAAAATAATGCTTCACTGTGAAACTTGGGGTTTGCCCCTGAGATACTGCTCCTTCAAATCATTTCTACATCATTTCTACTATTTTTAATGAAAGTGTACTTGCTCGAGCAGCCTGCTGCATGCACAAATTATTCAGGTGAACTCCTTCTAAAATAGCCTTAGGAGAAAATTATACATTTAATCTGCTTCCTATACCCCAGATCCAGCAACTACTTGAAATTTCCCAGAACTAGACAGGGGATAGTTCCACCTCATAATGAGGTGGAAACAGTTGCTGACATTTAAAACATAGAGACACATATATTTGTTAAAAGTATCTTTTAAAAATGACATACCCTAATTGCAAAGTGGTGCTACACTTTCATTTGATGGAAGTACCACACTATCTTTTAGAAATACGAGAAGGAATAAATAGGAAATCTGGAAGTTATGTTTTAAATTACTAAAGAATTAGTTAAACAAATCATTATCTCATATTAATCACTAGGAAGTCCTTTAAACTTCTGATCCCTAAAACTCATTACAGATGGTATGGGGGACAAAAATTTCCTTCAGTGGTTTTTAATTAAAGTCAGTTTTGGGTGTCCTCTTCACTAAGGCTCATAAGTGAGATTTTCCTCTGTTTTATTCTTTCCTATATACTTTGTTTAACATGTAGCCTGAAAGAATTGTTCATGAAAACTCCTGTAAGATACTTTCTTTTGACGTAAAAGGGCATATTAATAGTTCTCAGACAAATGTGAATCCGGATTTTAAGCAATACAGTGACAATTAAATGCATAGGTCTTAGGTACCAGCTGGAAGGGAAACATCATGCATTTCTATTCTCAAAAGTAAAACTCTTTCTAGTAGTGAAGAATTGAAAGCATATATGAGGAAAGCAGCTAACTGCTTCAATTCTAAACTCATAATTAGGAACAGTCTAATGTAGACGTGTGTGTAATTGGAAAGTTCTTGTCTGTTCTTTGATTTCACGACACAAGTAACTTTTTCATAACAATCTGATAATTAAGAGAAAAAAATTTTATTTTTCCTTCCAATAGTCAGCTTCTTTAGTTGTAAAAATGACAGGTGTTATTGTTGTGCCAGATTGTCTGTTTAACTGGCCTGGGGAACCTTGTCCCAGTACAAGAATGAGCTTGCGCTGGACATGATGACTTCTGTCCATATCCCGCCTGTCAACTGCCACAGATTTCAAAGTCTGTCCTTTATCTTGGTACCTGACTGGATTATTTTGAGGCATCTGTAAGCTGAAGCAGCAATTGTACTGCTGTATTTGGACAAAAGGAAAGATTAACATTACAGGAGAAATAGGAAGACCAGAAGTAAACTTCATGCAATTATTTGTTTGCATCAAACCAATATCCTCTCCAGGTCTATTATAACCAAATGAATCATATACTTAAACTGACATTACTTTTTTGAGCAATTCATATTCATGTTTGTAGAAGCAATGAATGGCTATGATTTTTATTTTGTTGCTATAACTTAGCATTAGAAAGAAAGGAGTGCTGGTACTTCAGCTCTGTGGTTGGAATGCTTTGATTTCAGTACAAAAGTAAGTTTAAGAAAAATCTCTTTTTAAAGCTGTGAAACAAGTTAGAGAGGAGATATGTTGAGTTCTCTTAAAATAATAAGTTTTATAATTTCTTGTAAATAGCTGTAAATGAGTAGTACTTAGCTTTGTTTTGGGTAAAAAATAACAAAACAGTGACTATGTGAAAATTAATTTCTGCCTGTGTAGTAGAAGACTATAGCTTTGCTTCTGGTGAGTATGCGCTTAGACAATAAACAGCTTTTTAAAAAAGTATTGCTAGGAAAAATGAGTGAAGACCTATTTGTTGTCAGGATAAATTGAACATAAGGTACAAAGAGAACTTGAAATAATTTCCCCAAGCGCTGGTCTCTGGGACAACCTCTGTACTTCTACTACTGTGTAGTGGTTACAGATAAATTTTACATCAATGGAATCATTCAGCCAGAAAAATGTTTTTGTTTTAGGGGAGAGGCATTTCTGCTATTAATAGATGCCAAAACTTTATATGTACAAATCATCATCCTTAATTTGATTTCTACAGTTAATAGAAGCTTTGTAAGTAAATTGATCAAACTGTGGAATACATGAGCCTGGGGAAAGGGTTGAACTAGTTGATAACTTCCCAGGAAATAGTAATTCAGATCCTGTAAGACCCACCATGTTTGTGCAGCATCCCTGATGAATATGAGACCTGCCTTTCCCTGACCAAGAGCTCAGGATAGTCATATCCCTATCTTGTTTTGAAGTAGTTTCTGCTTTTTAAATTTGAAGCGTTATGTTGAAATTAATCCAATTTAGGCAACTAATATGCTATGCTGAAAGGATAGTAAATTCAAAATAAAACTTTACAGAATGTAGCTCTGTCTTGAAAACCTTGAAGAGGCTTAAGAAAAACATCTGTATTTCTGTAGTACCCTGATAGTAAAAAAAAAACAAACCCAAACCCCAACCAACTGTGAAAGTTAGAATAAAACTTAGAAAAGAATGCTGTTTGTTTTCTGATTTAATTGAATATTTTTAAGATGCAGTTATTACGTTGTGTTCTGATGTGTTCTGGTTTCGTTGTGTTTTGAAAATAAATAATTTTCATGTAACTAAATGTATAAGCAGTGGAGTTCAATAGTAATAGAAGCTAGCTAAGAAAAACATTTGTTAGTCTGTATTTTTATGTGTGCTTAACATAACTCTAAAACATAACTAAAATTTGGCAGTCTAGAATGGCATACTATGGAAAAATTGATTTTTTTTTTCCTTATTTGTTCCTTTGCAGGTGTACTTGGATATATCAGGAAATAATTCTTTCAGCATTGGGATGGAAGAACTAGCTAGCATCAAGAAATTTGCAAGGGAAACTAAAAAGAAAAACATTCTAGTTTATGGTCTCCTTATCCAATATAAGGTATGTAATTATTTTTCTATGTGCAAATTATCTTCTTTTGCCATTTATATGATTAATGATAGAATCTTCATTTAAAACAAAATCAAAGGGAAATAAATATGACTTGAAAAGGATTTTTTTGAAGATTCTTGCCTGTTCTTGTTCAAAATTCAGACAAGCCTGTAGTTATAGGCAAAAATGTAAGCTTTTTGATTTGGGAGGAAGAAATGGTAAACATTTTTTAGAAGCACATGAAAACATCAGGGCCCTTTTTGCTTTTCTGCTTTGAAACTTGCTTTGTGCAGCATTAAAAAGGTAAAAAATAGTAAAAGTACATTCAGTCAGTGGTTCTGCAGTATTTTACGTCCCTCATCAAAACAGTGTTTGGTATTCAGGGGACAGGAAGGGCACAGCATATAGGTGTTGAGACAGTGTCTGTGTCTGTAACAGTAGCAAATTGCCTCAGGTGGAGGCAAAAAGGGTTACCACTTCAGCATCCTTTGTACTCACAAAAGCTATTTAAAATAAACCATTTTGCCTGGGATACATGTTTTGCCTGGGATACAGCCAGAAGAGTGGGCTGCCTTGCCTCCAGTGCAGATATAGTTTTGCAGATTCTTAACTCAGTCAGCAGTGAAGGAAGTAGTAAGTTAGATATTCAACAGGAATTTTAACAAAGAAGAATAAATGTAATCTTAACTGATTTTTTTGGGGGGTTGAATTAGGTATTTGTATGTAATTGTTAAATATGGCTATAGTTTCGTGTCTTTTTCTGGTATACCAAACACTTGATTATCCCTTCAAATTCTCTGGCTTTATTAAGAGCTATGAGTATCAATACCTATCAGTTTATGCTTTTACAGACTTTTGATGCCAACAGAATATGAATATTGCTATTATATGATTTTAGTTTGTCTCTTGTTTGTAAAACATACAGGGGCATACAACTATTTTCAGTCTTCTTTCTGGTACTATCAAACCCCATTTTTTCCAGGGTGAACTGGCTTCCTTTAGTAAAAACAATTTGAATAACTGTTGGAAACAGCTCTGAGGCACCTTAGCATGGTAAAAAGTAACATTGCAAATATTGCTTTAGTGTAACTACAATTTTTTCCTTTTAAAATTCATTGAGTATTCAAGTGGATCAAAGAGACATATGTGGATAGCACTGGTTAGTAAAGCTGAAAAGTAAAACTGGGAAAAAGGAAAACTTTTATAATCTTTGGTGGATTTTTATGACCATGGCACCAAAACATTTTACATTAACTAGCATGTATAAGAGCAGTAAGAGATCTGAATGGAAGTTCCTGATCCTTGGTGGTAAGAGAATTGCAGCAGAATGCTGCCTCCATTTTTTAAAAAAATAAAATGCTAGACTCATTATCTAAGATCACTGCAGGCAGAGCCATCATTTATTAGCATGGAAAAAATATTACATAGAGTAAAACACTTTGCAAAGTAAGTAAACTACTTCTAGTTATCTATCTTATTTTAAAATGGCTTTAATACACATGCTGCTCACAAAGACAGGCATATAGTCTTGAGTTCCTGCTTGTAAGTGTTTTGAAATTATATATGTGTGATATATGTATCAAGTTTTCTTTCGGCTGCAGATCTACAAAGAACATATTTGTTTCTAGTGAAGACCTATGGAAAGATTTGACATAACGAATCTAGAAATGACATAACCTAGACTTTATTGCTGGTTTGGATGAGACTGAGAGAGACTGTGAACAAAAGCAGTTTGTTACACAAAAAGATATCTTTAAAACAGGTTTTGGGGTTTTTTTTTTGAAGTCCAAAGCATGATTTGAGAGTCACCGAGGTATTTTACTTTTAGTACAACCCGTTAATAGGTGAATTCCATGCTTGAGGATGGAAAGGTAAATTTCATACAGGCATGATGGGCAGTCCAGAAGAAGTGGAAACACAAAAAGCACCTGATGCTGTAATGCAGGTTACTCAGCCTATTTTTGCAATATCGTCTGTCACTGTCTGTTTTCCAGAAGTCCTGGAAAGCTATAGTTTATTTCAGGAAAAGAATGATGACAGATAATTGCTTCATAGAGCTTACCTCTAGCTGACAGTTTTATATCCTCACTACCAGACATACACAGTTGATAGATGCAGATTTACTGATTCTAAAACAGGGATAAAATGTAAGGGATGAGAAATTTATTGAGGCACATGACCATGGTAATACTGAGGTGGGTTATATGATTAGGTGGGTGTGATAATATCTTGGTATAAAAGAATATGAGGGCAGTTCTTTCAGATTCTACATTAGCAAAGCAAATTTTTTTAAATAAATATTTTATATAATGTAAAAAAATTATAAATTTTTTAATCTTTTGGAACAGGAAATGAAATGCTTTTGGAACAGAGGAGTATGTTTTTGATGGCATTGAAGGAGCTGAGAAGCCCTAAGAAAAATTATGAGTCTTTATTTTCGCTTCTTAAATGCAGTGTTTATTTGGTATTCCGAAAGAGATATCAAGTATTTTTATGAATATTTGATACACCAAGAAGATAATCAGGAGAATTAAAGGAAAAGGCTTTAATATGCCTTATAAATAACCTACTTAGTACCTTCCATTTGCTCAAAATTGAATGCATAAACTGGTACACAAATAGTTATTTCTCTTGTAAACATCATGCATGGAACATCAACTTCGTAACAGCTCTACTTTGCATCCTGAAAACACTGTTAATTTAAATTTCAGTTGTGAAAATAATTTTAATTTTTTTCTTTTCTAAAACAGTTCCAGAATATTAGAAATAGTTTACTCATTCAAAATACAAAGGGGAAAAGAGTAATCAGTAAATTCCAGAGTCTGAACTTATGGATTTAGTTTTTGAATATTTTTCAGATGAGTTGAAGGAAATAGCTGACAAACAAGGTGAATTAAAAATAGGGAGAAAAATCCATTTTTTATGGGAGATGTTACTGGCATATGTTGATGAAAATGTTAGTAAAATTCCAACTGCTTTGATTTATTGAGTAGTTCACCTTGAAAATAGCAATAACTGGTATGGAATTATTTTGTATTAGAATAAGAATCTTCGTATTAATGATAGTCTAGTAGGGTGTAGTGCAGAATAGCAAATTCTGACTATTAGGAGGAAAGCCTATAAAAAGAATCTAAGTTATTCTTAAATAAACAAAATTTTACTTAAAAGGAGTCTTAAGAACTGCTAAGAAACCAAAGAACATCAAAGGTAATATCAAATCATTGCATCCATGCTGGGCTGGAAATATATTAATCTTAAAAGCATTGGTTTATATCATTCAAACTACAAGATTTGGGAGGAAACCTCAGCTGCATTTGGTAGTAATATGTTTTCCATGCTCTGAGCAATGGAGTATTAATGAACTTGGGCCTTGATCTCACACATGTGGATAATTATCTTTAAACATATCCTAAGTAGTTAATGGGTTTATGCTTAAATATGACAGTAATGTTTTAAAAATGTGCTATTTATTTACTGCTCTTCTTCCTTTTGAAATAATAATTTCTTATGACTGAATTACAAAAAATAGTCAGCACACAGAAAATATAAGCAGCATTTCCTATCATAGGAGTTCAAATTCAGTAGCTTGTAGAGGTTACAGTAATAAAATCTTGGTCTGTAGGTTTCAGTAATAACTTTATTACTTTTCACAAAGAATAAAAAGGAACAGTGATCATCCAAAATAAAGCGTGTTTGGATGGACATAGGAAGCCACAGAAAGCTTTAAAATATGAAAGGAATACTAATATATCATGGTTATAGAACTGTATTAATTTAAAATAATCCTACTTCAGAGAGGTAAATGACAAAATGTAGGGCCAGAACAGCAAGTATGTGCTAAGGCTTGCCTGGGGTAAGGGGACTCCAAATACTTTTGCCTCTGAAACTTCTGTTTGATTAAGATAAAGGAACTATTCACTGACAGCCAGAAAAATCAGTCCATACACTAAAAAGAGACAAATGGCGCAATAGAATAATTGTTATGAAGTTGTTGAAACTAAAAGAAAACTGAACTGTGGGTGATTTCTTATGCGAACATACGGGACACTTATTGTAGCCTTAAAGACTTTCTGAAGATAAGAGGATCATCTACAGTGTGCGTCATGGCTCAAGAAATACTTAAGAGTGCTAAAAGTGTTTTCTGTCTGACTTGGTAAACCCCAAAGGTAAACATTTATGCTTTCTTTTTCATCAAAGATCCCTTGATATAGTATTATGTGCAAATATTAAGGCAGTAGTTCTCAAAACAGGGAACACAACCCCAAATGGGATAATCCGCAAAGCAGAAGGTGGTTTGGCAACTAGTAGTGAGATAATGAGCCTGAAGGGCAAATGAAGTAAGATCACAAACTAAAGCTTTGAAAACTCATTGAAAACAAATGAGTCCTGCCCTGCATGACCCCTGCGTGCTTCTTAATTCATTTAAGAATTATAACTGAATTGGTCAAATGATTGCAATCTGATTAAAATGATTGGAATGCTGCTTGAGGACCTCTTTTTTTGTTGTTTTTCAAAATGCCATTTTTTTATTTCATCTGCAATGACATAATAGATTGTAATCAATCTGGAAACCTACATTTATTCATAGAAGTTCTTAAGGCCAAGTAATTACTGTTTAGTATTTTCAAGAGTCAGAAATTGAGCTTTGAAGTATTGGGATCCTATGGCCTATTCATCCTTTCATCAAGGAAAATTGTGCAAATGTGTGATGATGAGCCTGAGTGATCTTGATTCCACAGAGTTTGGGACAGAGAGGGAAACCAAATCACTTTGAAATTTTCTGTGTGAGTAACCTAGTAGAAATCAACATCTGTAAGCTTATTAATACAAAGTCCTAGCCGGTCATTCACCAGTAAATCCAAAGATGGATACTTATGGAGGCTGGACACTCTTTTATCTTTAATTATTACTACTGTCTGCAATCAGTCACTAATGCATATTTTGCAATAGGTAGAAAAAGATTTACAAACACTGACTTCTGAAATAGAACTACAAGAAACTACAGGAAG